AAGAAGATGGAAAGAATACATAGAGTCACTGTAACAAAAAAAATTGGTCCATCTTCAGTTCATTTCAGGAGGTAGCATATGATCAAGAATCAGTGGTACTGAAGGAAGAAGTGCAAGCTGCACTGAGGGCAGTGGTGAAAAACACGGCTCCAGGAATTGATGGAATAATTACTGAGATGTTTTAACAAATAGATAAATTTCTGGAGGAACTTATTCATTTATGTCAAGAAATTTGGAAGCTAGCTACCTGGCCAACCAACTGGAAGAGATCCATATTTATGCCCATTCCAAAGAGAGGTGGTCCAACAGAATGTGGAAATTATTTAACAATATCATTAATATCACATATGAGTAAAATTTTGCTGAAGATAATTTAAAAGTGGTTGCAGCAGTATACTGACAGCGAATTTCCAGAAAATCAAGCTGGGTTCAGAAGAGGACATGGAACTAGAGATAAGATTGCTGGCATTAGATCAATCTTTGCTGAAAGCAAAGAGTAACAAAGATGTTTGCCAGGGTTTTATTGACCATGCAGAGGCATTCATTGAATTGATCATAACAAATTATGGATACCATTACAAAGAATGGAATTTCAGAACACATAATTGTGCTCTAGAGGAACTTGTACATAGAGCAAGAGGCTGTCGTTTGAACATAACAAGAGAATACTGAATGTCTTAAAATCAAGAAGGGTATGCCTCAGGGTTATATCCTTTTACCATACTTATTCAGTCTGTATGCTGAGCAGATAACCTGAGAACTTGGACTATATAAGGAAGAAAGTGGCATCAAGATTGGAGGAACACTTATTAACAACCTGTGATATTTAGATAACACAACCTCGCTTGCTGAAATCAAAGACTGAAGTCTTTAGTATGGATTACACCGCAACATGAAATAAAAATTGTCACAGCTGGACCACTAGGCAACATCATGATAAATGGAGTAAAGATTGACACTGTCAGGGATTTCATTTGACTTCAATCCACAGTCAACACCCAGGGAAGCAGCAGTCAAGAAATCAAATGTATTGCACTGGGAAAATCTGCTGCAAAAGACCTCTTTAAGCAGAAGGTATCACTTTGAAGACTAAGGTGCACTTAACTGAAGCCATGGTTTTTTCAGTTGCCTCATGTGCATGTGAAAGCTTGACAACATATTAAGGAAAACTGAACAAGATTAAATGGCTTGAATTGTGGTATTGGTGAAGAATACAGAAAATATCATCAGCTGTCAGAACAATGAACAAATCTGTCCTGGGAGATGTGCAGCTGGAATGCTCCTTAGAAGCAAAAATGGCCAGACTTCATCTCACCTACTTTAGTCGTATTTTCAGAAGTGACCAGTCCCTGGAGAAGGATATCATATTTGGTAAAGTAGAGGGTCTGAGAAAAAGGGGAAGACCCTAGATGAGATGGATTGACACAGTGGCTGCACAATGGGCTCAAGTATAGCATGGTTTGTGAGAATGGTGCAGCACCAGGCAGTGTTTTGTTCTGTTACAAGTAGTGTTGCTATGAGTTAGAGTTGACTCAGTGGCACTTAAGAAAAAGAAATAAAATTTTAAGAACTGCTCTCCTCCACTATTGACCCAGGGACACACAGACTCAAGGAAGTGAATCTAGAGTTTAACGAGAGCTATTTTTTAAGCTTAGGTGACTACTGGGCTGAGGTTTAAGTTATAGCTACTCATTTGTCTCCACAATACTGCAGTGGGAATGGTTTCCCTACAGTTGAACAAAAATAAAATTTCTGACTTTCCATTAGGCTGCCTCTGACACTACTCAGCGAGGAGCAGGGGGGTGGGGGGTAAGTAGCACTTCATTCCTGCCTGGTGGTCATGGAAGTCTAAGATTGGTTGGTAGTCCCCACTGACACCATTATCACTGCTCCCTAGTTGGCCTTCTCTGATACCACCCCACATGGGGTTTTGAGATGCCTTCTATAACGAGGTCAAGAGTAGAAGTTCAGGCTCTCTACTCTGTGTTTGCTGGCATAAGTGGGAATGGGCCACAGTTTGGGATTTTTTGTTTTTTCCTTGTGGTGTTTGTCTGGAGTCTAGCAATTATTGTCTGAATACTTTCTGTCTTGTTAGACTTCCCTTGGTCCTTTTGCTACAGAGTTAGCTCTTGTTGGTGGTTTGTTTTGTTTTGTTTTCTTCCCTATACCTGTTGCATTTCCTGGTTGCTGACATCTCTGAGTCTAGAATATTTTGAGGCAAAAAAGAAGCCCAGGGAACTCAGCACTGTGTCCTTCCTTGGATCCTGAAGTCCCTAGCTTGATCGTCTTTTTTTTGTCCCTAGCTTGATCGTCTTATTTTTTCACTCTCCAGAGTCTTTTTCTGTTTGTTTTATATATAAGGTCCAGGGTTTTTAGTTTTACTTAGTGAGAAGAATAGGGGAAAGTATATCTATTTGATCTTCTTGAAAGTGAAAGCTTCTGATTGCTTTTTTTAAACTTGTGCTTTTGTGGAAGGAACTGGAAACTGAACTTGATACCACTGAATGTTTCCTATATTTTGTTGCTTAAAAAATAAGAATAAACATTAAAATATTCTCATTTTAGATAATTAGACTTGATAAAGCAAAGAACTACTACTTGGAGAAAATAATTTACAATAGCTCTCAAATTTAATGAAACAGAATCCATTAGCAGAGGCATGACTACAGATGGAGATTTTAAAAAATGTAAGATAACTTTTGTAATAAATTGAGGCTTTAGATTATCAAGTTATTAGGAAATAAAATTATTAAAAATTTATTCAAAAAGATGTAGTGAACCTGTGAAAATCACTATACAGGGAAGAAATGGACATGATTCATAAAATTAAGACAGTCTTCATTGTCTAATAACTTTAAGCTTAATTATTTCTTAGAGCATAAAAGACATGGAAAAAACACCCTAGTCAATTAATGAAGCACACCTTACCATATAATAATACCAAAACCTGACAAAAACTTCCCCTAAACAATTCCTGCAAAATATGTATTAATATTTGATATTTCTGCAGATTTGCTTCTCTCAACATGAGTTTGGAAACCCACTGCTCTGGAGTTGATCCCAACTCATGGTTACCTTTATAGGACAGAGTAGAACTGTCCCATAGGCTTTCAAAGGCTGTAAAAACTTTGCCAGAGCAGACTGCCTCATCTTTCTCCTATGGAGTGGCTAGTGGGTTCAAACTCTCTACCTTTTGGTTAACAGCCCATGGTTTAACAGCACCACCAGAGCTACTTGAGTTTGGAAAAGAGTGTGTTAAAAAATTAAAAGATATTTTTGAATGGTTCTTTCCTCACTCACCTATTCTCTGTTTTCCTTTTCCAGAGTCCCTGTTCTCATGTTTCTGAATAGCATGTTGTTGTTGTTGTTATGTGCCATCGAGTCGGACCCGACTGACAGCGACCCCTCCTTGGGTTTCTAAGGCAGTATCACTACAGAAGTAGATTGCCCCATCTTCCTTACGAGGAGTGGCTGGTGGGTTTGAACTGCCAGCCTTCTGGTTAGCAGTCAAGTGCCTTGGACACTATGCTACCCGAGCTCCCTCTGTATAGCATGCTTTTTGTAAAACCACTCCTGCAGACCCCCTCTCCTGCATATGACCCTCTTCTTTCCTGTATACACTTAAGACTGGCTTTCTTGTCCTGTATGCATATCATCACATAGAGCTGTCATCTTTTACAGCAACGAATGCTAAAGATCTTGCTGTTCAAGTTGATGAGAGAGAAAATCTCATTCAATCTTCTGTTGCTATGGGGGTAAAGGGAGCTGAGTACATGATACGAACAGGATTGCCATGGTCTAGTATTTGAGGGAAGTTAAAAGAGTTGACACTAGACCTATTACTTATATTCTTTTCTTGTAACTTAGAAAATTTTGATTGTCAGTGGATTTTGCTCTTCATTTATTCAGCAGACATTTCTTAGATACTTATTGGTTTAAGTCTTAAGTATATCTTAACCAAAAAACCAAACCAAACCAAACCCACTGCCACTGAGTCGATTCCTACTCATAGCGACCTCCATTGGGTTTCCGAGGCTGTACATCTTTCAGAAGTAGATTGTCCAGTCTTCCTTTTGCGGAATGGCTGGTGGGTTTGAAGTGCCAACCTTCTGGTTACCAGTCAAATGCCTTAGGCACTGCACCACCAGAGCTCCAGCAAGTGTATCTTAAAGAAAGGAAAGTGAAAGCAATAATCAGAATAGTCATGAAGTTTATTTTCAATCGCAGTCTATAAGCTTTGGCTTGAAGTTCAGTATTCATATGTTTAGCAAAATCTTTTTTGTAATTTTAAATTAATTTTCTAGGTCCAAATTTTATATTATCCATGTATTGGCAAACAAACAAACAAAATCATGGACTGTTTCTTTAAGGATCAGTTAAGAGAAGCTACTACTGTTAGGCAACACTGCTTCAAAATACGCTCCTTTGTGGAAAATAATTTAAAACAGGTAAGATGAAGTTTTATGTGATTTGGTATTTTTATATTATAACATGTGGAAATTACTCTGGAATAATTTCATATGGTGTTGTGCATCTCTACTAGTAGATCTAAGAGATTAGAAACTACGTTTACACAAATTGGTAACTTTTATAAGTTTAGGATTCAAAATGGTAGGATAGGTAGATAAAATTTTAGTCAAGAATAAATCTGAAAGAAAATCAGCTGGTACAGAATATGCAAATTATTTTTTCACTTTAATTCTTAAAGTACAAATACATAGGCATATTCTAACTACCAGAAGGCTGGCAGTTCAAACCACCAGCCACTCCTCAGAAGGAAGGTTAGGTAGTCTATTTCCAAAGTGATACCGCCTCGGAAACCCAAGGAAGGGTCACTATGAGTCGGGGCTGACTCAACGGCACATAACAGCAACAACATTACTTGAAACTTAATAAGGTGTGTGTGATTTATTTTGTTAAGTTTAATGTACATGAACCAATCATAGATATTGCAATTGGTTTACATCATCATTATTATTATAAATATTTGTTCAGAACTGATGGCCAAAAGAAAGGAAGAAAATTTCTTGTCACATGAAAATGCCAAAAGACCAAGAAAAGGAGAGGCAGAGGATTTTGATGGAGGTGGTGATGATTATAATGGTACCTCTACTTTGGTAAGTACAAAATTAGAAAATTATGTTTTTCTGTTGGTTTGTTTCTCACGTCTGAATTATATTTAGTATTTATTGATCATTCAAAATCAGGAAAGGTGATAAGATTTCGGGAGGCAGACAAGGCCCTAGCCCCCTAGAGCCAGGAAAGGGAAGGAGCGGCCGGGGACCACAGAGTGGCAGGTTCCAGGTAGGTATTAGGTAAGGGGAGCACCAGAAGTTTCCAACAGCTAATAGAGAGAAACTTATGTGTCAGTTTGTCATCCTTTGGGGCTTGCATGTTACTGTGAGGCTTGAGGCTGTGCCACCAGTGTTTCAGACATCAGCAGGGTTGTACATGGTGCACAGGTTTCAACTCAGGTTACAAACTAGGAACAAGGAAGAGGCCATCCACTTCTCAAAAATTGGCCAGGGAAAACCTTACGAATAGCAGAAAAACACTCTCTGATAAATTTCTTGGTACCTTTATGAATAGCTTGGAAACATTGTCCAACACAGTGCAGGAAGACGAGCCCCTTGGTTCAGGAGGCACTCGAAATAGGACTGGGAAAGAGCTGCCTCATCAGAGTAGAAGCAACTTCAATGATACAGATAAAATAAGTCTTTGAGGACTTCCATGTGCTGACATGGCATGACTGAAATTGAGGAGAAACAGCTGCAGACATCCGTTAATAATCGGAACGTGGAACGTACCAAGTATGAGTCTGGGAAAATTGGAAGTTGTCAGAAATGAAATGGAACACATATTGATATCCTAGGTACTAGTGAGCTGAAATGGACTGGTTTTGGGCATTTTGAATCAGACAACCATATGATTTACTATGCCTAACGTGACAATTTGAATAGGAATGGCATGGCATTCATCATCACAAAGGATGTTTCAAGATATGTCCTGAAGTACAAAGCTGTCAGTGATAGGATAATATCCATACGTCTACAAGGAAGACCCATTAATACTACTACTATTCAAATTTACGCATCAACCACCAAAGCCAAATATGAGGAAATTGAAGACTTTTATTAACTTCTGCAGTCTGAAATTGACTGAATGTGCAATCAAGATGTGTTGCTTATCACTTGTGGTAGTTAAGTTTGTGTGTCAACTTGGCTGGGACTGGTTGAGTGGCTGGGCAGCTGGTGGTAGTTACTCCCCAATCAATTCCATGGTGTGATCAACCACAAGCAGCTGAGTAGCTCCCTTTTGGATGTGGTTTGCTTCCTGTATATAAGGAGAAGCTTTGAGAATGGCCTCTAGCCTGTGGCACGCTTGGACCCTGCATGTAGCTGTGTCATTGCTCAGCAGCCTGCTATGCTCTGCTGACCTTGGGACTTACAATGGACTTAAGTTAATGGCCTGCCATGTGGTTTGGTAACATCGGGACTGTGCCCTTTTACTTGTCAATCTTGGGGTTTCTCAGCCTCAGCAGCCAGCAGTTGTCTGAGTGAAGAAATGCTTCTAGCTCCAGTGGGCCAGGAGCAGGAGGCAGAGCTAGATCCCAAGGTTGAGGGGCTTTCACCCAGCCTCTAGAGCCTGGCACTTTGATCTTGGACTTAAAGCCTCCAAATTGTAAGAATAAACTTCTGTTTGTTTAAGCCATCCCATTTGTGGTATATTTCTTGTCAGAGCAGCACTAGGTAACCAGAACATCACTGGTGATTGGAATGCAAAAGTTGGAAACAGAAGAATCTAGTTGGAAAGTTTGGCCTTGGTGACAGAAATAACGGTGGAAATCACAAGAAAGAATTTTGCAAGACTAACGACTTATTCATTGCAAATACCTTTTTTTCAACAACGCAGATGGCAACTATACATATGGACTTCACCAGATGGAGTACACATGAATAGGATGACTACATCTGTGGCAGCAGGAGATGGAAAAGCTCAGTGTCTTTAGCCAAAACTAGGCCAGGAGCTGATTGTGGAACAGACCATCAAGTGCTCATATGCAAGTTGAACTTGAAGTTGAAGACAATTAAAACAAGTCCACGAGAGCCAATATATGAACTTGGATATATCTCTCCTGAATTTAGAGACCATCTAAATAATAGATTTGATATATTGAACACCAGTGACTGAAAACCAGAAGAATTGTGGGATGACATCAGGGGTATCATCCATGAAGAAAGCAAGAGGTCATTAAAAATATGAGAAAGAAAGAAAAGACCAAAATGGATGTCAGAAGAGACTGAAACTTGCCCTTGAGTGGAGAGTAGCTAAAGCAAATGGAAAAAATGACAAGATAAAAGAGCTGAACAGAAGATTTCAAAGAGCAGCTTGAGCAGACAAAGCCAATTACTATAATGAAATGTGCAAAGACCAGGAGTTAGAAAACCAAAAGGGAAGAACACACTCTGGCATTTCTCAAGCTGAAAGAGCTGGAGGAAAATTTCAAGTCTTGAGTTGCAATATTGAAAGAGCCTATGGGCAAAATATTGAATGATGCAGGAAGCATCAAAAGAAGATGGAACAGTCACTGTACCAAAAAGAACTGGTTGATCTTCATCCATTTCAGGAGGTGGCATATGTTCAGGAACCAATGGTATTGAAGGGAGAAGTCAAAGCTGCACTGAAGGAATTGACAAAGAACAAGGCTCCAAGAATTGACAGAATACCCGTTGAGATGGTTCAACAAGTGGATGGCCCACTGGAGGCACTCACGCGGTTATGCCAAGAGATTTGCAAGACAGCTACATGGCCAACTGACTGGAAGAGCTCCATATTTGTACCCATTCCAAAGAAAGGTGATCCCACAGAATGTGGAAATTACCGAACAACATCATTAATATCGCATGCAAGTAAAATCTTTCTGAAGATAATTCAAAAGCGGTTGCAGCAATATATTCACAGAGAACTTCCAGAAATGCAAGCTGGATTCAGAAGAGGACGTGGAATGAGAGATATCATTGCAGATGTCAGATGGATCTTGGCTGAAACCAAAGAATACCAGAAAGATGTTTATCTGCATTTTATTGACCATGCCAAAGCATTTGATTGTGTGGATCATAACAAATTATGGATAACATTTAGAAGAATGGGAATTCCGGAACACTTGATTGTATTCATGAGGAACCTGTACATAGACCAGGAGGCTGTTGGTTGAACAGAAAAAGGGGATACTGCATGGTTTAAAATCAAGAAGGGGGTGCGTCAGAGTTGTATCCTTTCACCATACTTATTCAATCTGTATGCTGACTAAATAGAGAAGCTGGACTGTGTGAAGAAGAGTGTGGCATCAGGATTGGGGGAAGAATCGTTAACCTGCGACACACTGATGACACAACTTTGCTGAAAGTGAGGATGACTTAAAGCACTTACTGGTGAAGATTGAAGAATACAGTCTGCAGTATGGATTACATGTCAAGGTAAAGAAAACAAAAATCCTCAGAACCGGACCTATAAGCAGCATCACGGTAAATGGAGAAAAGATTGACATTGTCAAAGACTTCACATTGCTTAGTTCTACAATCAATACCAATGGAAGCAGCAGTTAAGACTTCAGATGATATACAGCACTGGGCAAATCAGCTGCAAAGGATCTCTTTCAAGTGCTGAAGAGCAAAGATGTCTGCTTGAGGACTGAGGTGCACCTGACACAAGCTATGGTATTTTCAGTCACCTCCTATGTACGTGAGAACTGGACAAGGAATAAGGAAGACTGAAGAAGAATTGATGCTTTTGAGCCGTGGTGTTCATGAAGAGTGCTGAAAGTACTGTGGACTGGGAAAAGAACTAACAAGTCTGTCCAGGAGCAAGTGCAGCCAGAATGCTCCTTGGAGGTGAGAATGGCCAAACTTCATCTCCCATACTTTGGTCACGTCAGAAAGGACCATTCCCTGGAGAAGGAATCTTGCTGGTAGGGTGGAGGGTTGACGAAAGAGGGGAAGGACCTCAACGAGATGGACTGACATGGTAGCAGTGGTGATGGGCTCAAGTATAGCAAGAATCATGGAGGTGGCTCAGGACAGGGCGGTGTTTCATTCATCTGTGCAGAGGGTCGCTGTGAGTTGGAGACAACTCAACAGCACCTAACAACAACAACAAAGTAAAATAAACCTGTTCTGTTTGATTTTGAGGTTTAGTTATTATTAGATAAAAATAATAGAGTAAAATCAGTGAAACAAAACTGGTTCCTTGGAAAGATCAATAAACTTGACAGTCTTCTAGTAAGACTGTCAAAGGGTAGAAAATAGAGAAGACACAAATAATCTTTTGATAGCATAGTGGCTAAGGCACTTGTCTGCTAACCAGAAGGCTAGTGGTTCAAACCCACCAGCCACTCCTTGGAAGGAAGGTTGGGCAGTTCTACTTCTGTAGTGATACCGCCTTGGAAACCCAAGGAGGGGTCGCTATGAGTCAGGGCCAACTTGATGGCACATAACAACAACAACAAGACTGACAAAGGGAAGAAAAGAGAGAAGATGCAAATAATCAATATCAGGAATAGAAGAGTTAGTATGACCATAGCCTGCAAACATCAAAAGGACAATAAGAGTTAACTTTATAACAGTTTGTTTATGTACGTATAACTTTGATGCAGGAGATTGGATTATTGACGGGACTGTGGAGAGCAATGCACTTTCAAAGCATTGAGATCAGCTGTATTTTTGAGTAGTGCCTGTTTCCTCCCTGGGTCACAATCCCAGGCACAGGAAATTTGGTTGCTATGCAATGTATGTGCTGCCCTTGTTTCTTATAGCCGTGACTGAACTTTTCAAACCAGTTTGAAGCATAGTTCACAAAAGGGAAAATTGATAAATAGGACATCATCAAAAATTTAAACTTTTGCTCTGCAAAAGACTGTTCAAATAATTGCAAACCAGACTACAGATTGGGAGAACATATTTGCAAACCACATAGCTGGCCAAAGCCCTGGTGGCACAATAGTTAAGCACTTGGCTACTAACCCAAAAGGTTGGTAGTTTGAACTCACCAGCTACTTCACTGGAGAAAGATGTGACAGTCTGCTTCTGTAAAGATTACAGCCTTGGAAACCTCATGAGACGGTTCTGCTGTGCCTTAATAGCGTCTCTATGAGTTGGAATTTACTTGATGGCAGTGGTTTTAGATTTGGTTAATTAACCAAGAACTAGTTTTCTGAGTATATAAGCATTTTCAAAATTCAATAGTTAAAAAGAAAATAATCCAGTTTGAAATTGGACAAAAAAGACTTAAGAGACATTTTACTGAAGAGGATAGACAAATGGCAAATAAGTACATGTAATCATATTTGTACCCAATGGAATGTCAAAATTATTGAAAATTATCAGGTAAAATTTTGCTGAAGATAATTCAGATTCAGTTATAACAGAAATTCAAGCTAGATTTGGAAGAGGGCATGGAATGAGTGGTATGATCTCTTTTGTCACATGGATCTTGGCTGAAAGCTGAGAAGCAGAGAGATGATTTCCTGGGTTTTATTGACTATGCAGAGGCATTTGACTATGTGAATCACGACAAATATGGACAATGTGATGATTTTATCCATTACTGTGTAACTACAAAGTGCAAGTGAGTACTGTGCCAAATTCTTGGTTAAAACTTTTATAAACTTTATCTAATTTAATCCTGACATATTCCTATAGAATATAAGCATTTTTATTTGCATTTTATAAGCTAGGAGACTATTCTTTACACATTGCCAGACATCATTCAGTTATCATAGTAAATGGCAGAAAAACAAAGTCAAAGAAAAGCAGTCTTTGCCTTTTAAGAACATGTACTCTTAGAATTAACTGTTTATGAATTGGGCTGTCATGTCAGATAATGAATTCTTTGTTCGAACCATGGCTAGATAATCATCTTTCAGGGATACTCTGAATATAATTCTGTATTTTTCAAGCAGTTTGACTACACCAGTGTTTTTCAGCCAGGGACACTTTGCCCCCAGGGACATTTGGCAGTGTCAAGATACGTGTTTTGTTGTTAGAACTGGAAGGCAGTGTGTGTGCTACAGGCCACTAGTGGATAGAAGCTTGGGATGCTGCTAAACATTCTACAATGTACAGGAAAGCCCCTTACAACAAAAAATTATCTGCCCCAAAATGTCACATTAGATCCTTTAGAACGAGTCTAATAAGTGATAATTTAATTTTGGAAGTAAATTTATTGGTTCTCTTAAATTGGTATGTTGTTATATGCCATTGAGTAGGACCGACTCATAGCGACCCTTCCTTGCATTTTCCAAGGCAGTAGCACTACGGAAGTAGACTGCCCAACCTTCCTTCCGGGGAGTGGCTGGTGGGTTTGAACTGCCAGCCTTCTGGTTAGCAGTCAAGTGCCTTAGGAATATAAAATGTTCCCATTTCCTTATATCTTATTCATTGGTTGAAGTTAACATTACTTACTTTCTGTGATTTTTTTCAGTGATAATACCGCTGGTCTTTTTTTTTTACCAGTAAGTGTTTAGATAATTACAATAAGTGAATTAGATAGATTGAGTTCTTCATTCTTTTTTATTTTTTATTAATAGACTGCAGCAGAAGTTGGAATAATTGAAGGTATTCAACTAAAAAACTTTATGTGTCATTCCATGCTTGGACCCTTTAAATTTGGTTCTAATGTTAACTTCGTCGTTGGAAACAATGGAAGTAAGTGTTTTTTGCCCTTCTTCTAATTTGACTTTGAGATTAGAATGCATTAAATTTTTGAAATAGGTGACCATTAGTGCAGATAAATGTTTGATTTATAAATTTATAACTTGTGGTTATAAATATTTTCAGTATTTACAGCCAGTCTGTGCTTTAAGAAAATAATGTGTTAACATAGCTTCCTAATTTATGCAGTAAGGATAAATATCTCCTTATTTTTTCGAATCTATCTATCTTGAAATTTGTACCACAAAAAATGTAGATAAGCAATTCTTACTACAGCGTATTGTACCTTCTCTCTATTAAGTGTTATAATAGAGCATAAATAAAGTGCTTTGCGAACCCAAAAGTAATAGTGACTAATTCTCATTTCTGTGGACAATGAAACTGTAAGAGAAAGTGGTATTTGTGGTATTTCTTAAATGAAAATTGCATAGTCTCATTGGAGAAGCAGAAGCTGAGATGTTCCAGGTAGAGAACATCAACAAAGGTTTGGAAAGGTAGAAATAGATGTGTCTGGAGAGTGGTTAATAACCTCATATGGCTTTATCATGTGGTAGATAGTGGAGAGGGGCAAACGCTGACACTGACAAGTTACATTGTAGATCACATTACTGATGATCTTGAATATTATGAGAAAGATTTTGAGATTATATTCAGAGAGATTATATTCTAAAACTCTATTTCAGTGTTAAGACAAATTCACATTTTAATTCTGAAATCTTTTTGCATTAGATACAAAGGTTAGCTATTTCTTTTTAATAATTTTTCTTTTTAATTCCTTCTTTTTAATAAATGTACTTTTTCAACTCTTTATTTCTTTAGGTGGGAAGAGTGCAGTACTGACAGCTCTCATAGTTGGTCTTGGTGGAAAAGCAATTGCTACTAATAGAGGATCTTCTTTAAAAGGCTTTGTAAAAGATGGACAAAAGTAAGTATTTGCTTTCTGCATATGTTTGCAGCTCTTTACTAATAAGCAGCTACTTTAGATTCCCAGTTCAGATAGATATTACTGGATAAGAAATGGCTTTTCAGAACAGGAGCAGAAGTGTCATATCCTTTCATTCTTTACTCTTGCCCCGTTTCCAGGATGGCCCATTGCTACCTATTGTCCTTTCCCGACAGATAGTTTGTGTAAATTATTGACATGTCAGTACGCACATAATACTCAAGTTTTGTTACCTTTCTGGAAGAACTACCAGTGATAAATTTATATACTGAAGGGAATATTAATATACTGTTTAAAGCAGTATTTATAAGCATTGGATTTTCCTGGATCTTGACCCAAATCCAGCATGAGCACATTAATGGGATAGTAACGACAGCAGAATCACTGATCAGCCAAGGTCCCTGCACAAAATTTCTGCCTCTAGCTCTCCAGAAAGTCCAAAAAAGTATTCTACTCTCTGACTTTGATTTTATATCCTCTACTCAGATGATGCCACCAGTGTGGACGGATTTGAAGACTCCAATCACAAGTCTAATTGTGGTCCATCTTAACCTTTGGTGAATGGTCATATAGCCACCCTATTTGATTTTAGGTATTTGTTATGCATTACCTTTGCATAAGCCAAAACCAAACCAAGCTCACTGCCATTGAGTCAATTCTGACTCATAGCGACCACGACTGGGTTTCTAAGGCTATAAATCTTTACAGAAGCAGACTGTCTCATATTTATTCTGTGGAGCAACTGATGGGTTAGAACCACTGACATTTTGGTTAGCAGCTAAATGCCTTAATCCGTATACCAGATTTGCATCATTATTGACTTCGGGCTTGTTGCCCACTAGCAGCACTGTCTTCAAGCTGATCTCTTTATTCTTTTTAATGTACCATGGATACCTCTGAAAGGATCTTTGTTTCTGACATCAACTAGATGTCCCACACTTGGTCATACCTGCACCAAGTGTGAGAACTATTCCCACTGCTTATTCTTCTCTCTTGTGCCTCATGCCTAGAAATATTGAAACATTTATAATTAACATATTTTTTCCCCATATAATTGTCTTTCCTTCTGCTTGGTGTTATAGCCATTCAGCATTTCACTTTTTTGGTTTTTTTTTTTTTCCCCACATTATTATTATTTTTCAAATTAAGGAATGAGGATAGAATATGAATCAGAATCAGGAGCTTTTTATCCATTGCTCAAAAGCCTTAGCTTTTATAACCCTGAGCAAAGGTTTCAACTTGACTCAAGGGAAGAACAGACACACAGAAAATAATTTCCCATGCTGTATGGCCTTAGAAGGTAACTATTTGTTAACAGTTGTCTAGCATATTTTGTCTCCCTTCATCTTTTTAGTGCTCCAACTCACCAAGGTCTTCTCTCCCTTAGCAAAATTATGTCTGAAGCAAAGAATTAGTTATTATAACACTTTCAGTTAATGTTTCCAACTATTTTAATTCATTATAATTTATTAACTCATTTCTCATTTGTACAAACAGTCATCTGGTCTCCCTGGCCAGATAACACATTGATTTTTCAAATAGAAGTTGCAGTAAGAAATTGTTTTTTGTGACCATTAAACATTTTATGTCTCAATTAAATACTTCTGATACTTTTCCATTTGGAAAGTACCTGGATGAAAGAAGAATCTTTGTTTGTAAGACCCATCTTCTTAATGCCACTTAATAAAAAAACTGGCTTACGCAAATCACCAACTTTTAAGGACACAGCTGCCTGCAGAGGGGGAAAATATAGTAATTTAAAAGAGTTAATAACAGTTTAAAACTTTAATCTGAACTTAATCTCTTCTTTATTGACTTTGTCCTAAAAAAGTAGCTAAGAACAGAGCTTTCCAAACACAGTAGTATTACTCTTATGGATCCCTTCCTCATTTAAAACATTTTGTATCTGTAAAATTCTTCTTTTTATAGTCTCTGATTCTCTTGTTACTTTTATGCAGAATAGGTGCATTGAGGCTTTCAGTTCTGTTCTTACTCTATTTCACATCTAAAATCTATGCAGTAATTCCATTCTGTCTCTAGCATGCTGGTAAGTATGGCATAGGACTGAGGAGTCTTAAGGGCTTCTCATCCCCTTTATGCTCCATTTCAAACAAAATAATCTCTAGTATCAGAAGCTCTGGTAGCATAGTGCCTAAGGCACACTTGACTGCTAACCAGAAGGCTGGCGGTTCGAACCCACCAGCCACTCCTCAGAAGGAAGGGTGGGCAATCCTACTTCCGTAGTGATACTGCCTCGGAAACCCAAGGAGGGGTCGCTATGAGTCGGGGCCGACTCGACGGCACACAACAACAACAACAATAAGTGTCAGAGTATGAGTTTCAACTCTCCTTAGAGATACTTGACTAGTATGAATGGCAGAAGCCAGAAAATGGTGCCTTGGGACATCTTACATGAGGCTAATGCCTTTGATTATCCACCAACCCTTTCCGGTGGTATGGGGATAATGAATGAATTCTCCTAATATATCTTCTCCCATGCAGACCTCTCTCAGTGACCCAGAGTCTCATGCTTCTTGCTATTCAGATTCTTCTTGAACATGTTCATTCTTCCTCCTTTGCCTTCCTGACACTAGACCTGGTGGTACTGAGATCTCTCCACTAGTCCTACTTTTGACGTGTAGCATTGTGAGTGGGTTGTGGAGGGATGAGAACTCATACTCCTGCCATACATTCCTGATTTATTTAGCCAAGGATACAGAACTTACTGCAGATAAGCAAATGCAGAGAAGGAGCACAAATATATGATATTTTTACCTGGCTTTAAAAAATCTAATTCCTTGTTTACTATGTGTGTGCTGCTCCCAGTTACCTCTATGCAGATAGGTGCTGTCAGACTTGAAAAAGAAGCCAACTGTCTGTTATAATACTAGGCAACTATACGAATAGCCCAGAAACACTGTCTGATACAGTGTAGGAGGATAAGCCACTTAGGTCAGAAGGCATTTAAAATATGACTGGGAAAAAGTGGCATCATCAAAGTAGAACTAACCTTACTGGTATGAATAAAATAAAGCTTTCGAGACCTCCAATTTTGATGTAACATGACTCAAATTGAGGAGAAACAGCTGCAAACATCCCTTAATAATTAGAACATGGAATGTACGAAGTATGAATCTAGGAAAATTGGAAGTTGTCAAAAATGAAATGTAATGCATAAAGATTGATATCCTAGGCGTTAGTGAGCTGAAGTAGACTGGTTTTGGCCATTTTGAATTAGACAACCATGTGATCTACTGTGTTGGGAATCACAATTTGAAGAGGAATGGCGTGGCATACATCCTCACAAAGGCTATTTCAAGATCTGTCCTAGGGTACAATGCTGTCAGTGATAGAATAGTATCCATATGTCTACAAGGAAGACCAGTTAATACGACTATTAATCAAATTTATGCACCAACCACCAAAGCCAAAGATGAGGAAATTGAAGATATTTACCAACTTCTGCAGTCTGAAATTGACCAAACGTGCAAACAAGATGTGTTGCTTAATACTGGTGACTGGAATGCAAAAATTGGAAACAAAAGAAGAGTCACTGGTAGTTGGAAAATTTGGCCTTGGTGACAAATAATGCTGGAGATCACATGAAAGAATTTTGCAAGACCAGTGACTTACTCGTTGCAAATAGCTTTTTTCAACAACACAAATGGCAGCTATACACGTGGACTTTACCAGATGGGATGCACAGGAATCAGATTGACTACATCTGTGGCAAGAGGTGATGGAAAAGCCCAATATCGTCAGCCAAAACCAGGTGGGGAGCTGATTGTGCAAAAGACCATCAACTGCTCATATACTTGAAGTTGAAGACAATGAAAACAAGTTGATGAGAGCCAAAAAATGATCTGGAATGTATCCCTCCTGAATTTAGAGACCATCTGAAGAACAGATTTGATTAATTGAACACCAGCGACCAAAAACCAGAAGAATTGTGGGATGACATCAAGATCATCATCCATGAAGAAAGCAAGAGGTCATTAAAAAGACAAGAAAAAAAGAAAAGACCAAAATGGATGTCAGAAGAGACTGAAACTTGCCCTTGAGTGGAGAGTAGCTAAAGCACATGGAAGAAATGACAAGATAAAAGAGCTGAACAGAATATTTCAAAGAGCAGCTCTAGCAGACAAAACCAATTACTATAATGAAATGTACAAAGACTTGGAGTTGGAAAACCAAAAGGGAAGAACACACATGGCACTTCTCAAGCTGAAAGAACTGAGGAAAAAATTTAAGCTTTGAGTTGCAGTACTGAAAGAATCTATGGGCAAAATATTGAATGATGCAGGAAACATCAAAAGAAGATGGAAGGAATATACAGTCACTGTACCAAAAAGAACTGGTCGATTTTCATCCATTTCAGGAGGTGACATATGATCAAAAACCAATGATATTCAAGTAGGATGTTGAAGCAGCACTGAAATAATTGCTGAAGAACAGGACTCCAGGAATTGATGGAATACCCACTGAGATGTTTCAACAAATGGATGGCCCACTGGAGGCACTCACTCGGTTATGCCAGGAGATTTGGAAGACAGCTACATGGCCAAGTAACTGGAAGAGATCCATATTTGCACCCATTCCAAAGAAAGGTGATCCCACAGAATGTGGAAATTATTGAACAGTATCATTAATATTGCATGCAAGTAAGATCTTACTGAAGATAATTCAAAAAGGGTTGCAGCAGTGTATTGACAGAGAACTTCCAGAGGTGCAAGCTGGATTCAGAAGAGGACATGGAACAAGGGATGTCATAGCTGCTGTCAGATGGATCTTGGCTCAAGGCAAAGAATACCAGAAAGATGTTTACTTGTGTTTTATTGAGTATGCAAAAGCTTTTGATTGTGGGATCATAACAAATTATGGGTAACATTGAGAATTATGAGAGTTCCAGAAGACTTAATTGTACCCATGAGAAACCTGTACATAGACCAGGAGGCTGTCGTTCAAACAGAACAAGGGGGTACTGCATGGTTTAAAATCAGAAAGGGGTGTGTCAGGGTTGTATCCTTTCACCAAACTTATTCTGTATGCTGACCAAATAATCCGAGAAGCTGGATTATATGAAGAAAAACGTAGCATCAAGATTGGAGGAAGTATCATTAACAACCTGCGATATGCTGACGACACAACTTTGCTGAAAATGAGAATGACTTGAAGCAGCTACTGATGAAGACTGAAGAATACAATCTGCAGTGTGGGTTACATTTCAATGTAAAGAAAACAAAAATCTTCACAACTGGACCTATAAGCAGTATCACGATAAATGGAGAAAAGATTGAAGTTGTCAAAGACTTCACATTGCTTGGTTCTACAATCAATGCCAATGGAAACAGCAGTCAGCACATTAGAAGATGTGTAGCACTGGGCAAGTTGGCTGTAAAAGACCTCTTTCAAGTGCTGAGGAGCAAAGATGTCGCCTTGAGGACTAGGGTGTGCCTGACACAAGCCATGATATTTTCAGTCACCTCATACACATGTGAGAGCTGGACAATGTATAAGGAAGATTGAAGAAGAATTGATGTTTTTGAGTTGTGGTGCTGGCAAAAATGCTGAAAGTACCATGAGCTGCTAAAAGAACTAACAAATCTGCCCTGGAGGAAGTGCAGCCACAAAGCTCCTTGGAAGCAAAAATAGCCAGATTTTGTCTCACCTACTTTGGTGATGTTATCAGAAGGGACCATTCCCTGGAGAAAGAGGTCATGCTTGGTAACGTGGAGGGTTGATGAACGAAGGGATGGCCCTTAATGAGATGGCTGCGGTAATGGGCTCAAGTATAGCAAGGATCATACAGCTGGAGCAGGACCAGGCAGTGTTTTGTTATGCTGTGCATGGGGTTGCTGAGTCAAAGATGTCTGGATGGCATCTAACAACATCAACAACTGCAAAAGGCATTTGGTGTAAAGGTACAAAGTTATATATCTTGGAATCTGAGGAGTGGAAGTGCAGCTTGGTCTCATGAGGTAACAGAATTAAACTGGAGAACCAAGTATCTTCTGTCTCTGTCTTTGTTTTTGTGTCTTTGCCTTTCTGTGTCTTTGTCTCTGGACATCTTTCTTTCTCCATGTCCCTTTCTTTGTTTCATCAGCGTCTTCTTTCATTATTTCTGTGATATGTATATTCTGTCTTATTCTTTAGAAAAGTCTTTGTCACTCTGTGTGTCCATGTGTGCAGGCATTTATGTCATAACTGTGTGTGTTATATGAATGTAAGGAAGTAGTTTTGCATTCTCTGTGTCTCTGAATCACTCTGCTAATACCTTTTGAGTTGTATTTGTGTCTTTCTAGGCTTTCCCAAACTCTTATTTGTTCTATGTTCCTGCTTCTCTCTGTAGTCTATTTTATAGACTCTCCTACTTGATTATTTTATACTATATAATAATAATATATTATACTTTGTGATAGCTCTGGTGGTATAGTGCCTAAGGTATTTGACAGTTAACCAGAAGGCTGATGTTTCAAACCCACCAGCCACTGCTTGGAAGGAAGATTGGGCAATCTACTTCCGTAGTGTTACCACCTTGGAAACCCAAGAAGGGGTTGCTATGAGTCAGATCCAACTTGACGGCAGTGAGTTTTTGGTTGTGGTTGTTGTTGTTGTTGTTATGTGCCATCAAGTCGAACCCAACTCATAGCGACCCCTCGTTGGGTTTCCGAGGCAGTATCACTACGGAAGTAGATTGCCCCATCTTCCTTCCGAGGAGTGGCTGGTGGGTTTGAACTGCCAGCCTTCTGGTTAGCAGTCAAGTGCCTTAGGCACTAAGCTTCAAACTTTTTCTCCAAAGAATCTCCATCTCCAGATTTGGTAATGTCTTAATTTGAACTTTCTGAAAAATCTTTTTATTTTTAAATAATTTCAGATTTACATAAGTGTTGCAGTTAACACTGATAGAGTATTGTTAGCTAAATTATAGACTTTCTTTTAATTTTACCAGTTTTTCTTAATTTGAATTTTTGCAGATTCGCTCAGTTAGGGTCAGGTTGTATGCATAGCCCTTGGGGGGCAGTATAGGGAGGTAGTATTCTGTAAAGATACAGCTGTCTAACCCCCTCTTTCTGCTAGGGTACTTGCAAGAGCTGGGCAAACATCTCAGTATATGCAGTGTAGTGTATAATAAAGATCATCTTTAGTATTTTTTTCCACATTTCCTGCAAATGGTAACAGTTTTTTAGTATACATTAATGAAAACAGGAGTGTTGTGTCAGAGATTCCATTTAATTACTAGTTAAAACAGTTTTGTAAGATGTTTGGGTGCTAACCAGAAGGTCAGTGGTGCAATCCTGCCATACTAGCTGTTCCACAGGAGGAAGATGAGGCAGTCCACTTCCATAAAGATTTATAGCCTTGGAAAGCCAGTGGGTGACAGTGTGCTTACTGGGTAAAACAGTTTTACATTTAAGGACTTAAGCATTTTGGCAGATGCTCATAAGAAGTAGAGAAAATTTTATTTGCTTTTGTGTTTAAGAAATTTATAATATATATTTGTTACTGTCCTGAATCAACATCTTTTTTCTTTCTTTTTCTACAAAATTCTATTTTAACAGATGTTAAAGAAGAACCGTAGCTTGAAATATAAACTCAAGTTTAATAAAGATCGATTTTTTCCTATAATCTTAAAATATGCATGGCTGTAGTCCTTGAAGCTTCTTTAAACATTATAAGAGAGGCTATAAATTACGAAAACTTAAACCCTTAACATTCATTGTGTGTTTAGCTCCACTATATTTTTTAAAAATAATTCTTTTGTAATGTTGATAAAGGTGTAAGACATTTGAGGTTTATTTTACATTTCTTGATCTCACATACTTTCCTTTTATTAAAAAAAAAATTAGTGTAAAGTAATTGAAAAATTCAAGTTACTTCCCTTGTTTCTAATCCTATTAGAAAATGTTACTTCACCCTGATTATTATATCATCAGTATATTCTTTAAAGCTTAATGTCAGCATGATACTTTACTATGGAATTCAAAGTAGCAGTATAATATTACTATACAGTGCCTACAGGAAACTGTATTACATATCTACACAATTTGAAACATTGAAAATTTTGTTTTTTTGTGTGCGAATATGGTGTTTCTATTATGGACAAAATAAGTAAGTATTTTTCCTATGAGGTTTTTTCTTAATTACAACTTTGTTTTTTTGTTAGACATAACATCGTTAACATTATTCTGTAGTAGACTAGCAGCCATCAGCTGCTGATATAAAACTTATTTTAAAATGAATTAGTCACATTGCTTGAGGCATTTGAAAATTCTGAATATTCTCGTAAGGTAGTATTGTAATTGCGTTGTACTTTCATATGACTTTGCTTAACTTCACTGTTTTAGCTCAGCAGATATCTCAATAACATTAAGGAACAGAGGAGATGACGCATATAGAGCAAATGTTTATGGTGACTCTATAATTGTGCAACAACATATCAGCATGGATGGAAGTCGATCTTACAAACTAAAAAGTGAAACAGGTTTGTTGTGAATTTAAGTTCATTTCATATAAAATACCAATTAAATACATTTAATACCAGTTAAAGAAAGTGATTGTGTTGGTACTCACTGAAAGAGTGCTTCTTCTGAGTCTCTTGAAAACTCTTTCTTGTAAGATGATTGGTTGCTTATATGTGTATATGATATGTGTGTACATATATTACACATAGTTGTTTTATTAGAAGAATTTTTGTAAATTTGAAACAGAGTATGCCATTTTGCTCTTACCTTGTGGTCCCCCCTTTTTCCCCTCTAGTTTGTATAGCATATGAAAAGAAAGAGTAAAATTTGGAAAAGGGCATAAAGGAAGAGGTAAATGTAAAGAGTATGAAAAGAAGAGATAGGTGAGGAGCAAAATGCCCTATGTGAGGAAGAGAAACACTGTCACTACATTTGTGTGCTTATTCCTATTCATGTACCTATGCCATGATTAGCATGTGACCCTAGTTCATTCAGATTTCTGTATACCTCAGTGGTACCTTTATTCTTACCTTTATTTTATAAATATTTGTTTTTGTACTTCTTAGAAATACAATAATAAAAGATATTTTATTATGTTTCTCATAACTTAGGGACTGTGGTTTCTACTAAGAAAGAAGAACTGATTGCAATTCTTGATCATTTTAACATTCAGGTAATTATCAAATTTGTGTTTCAGGTCAATTCATGCAACTGGTTATTTTGTTGTGATTTCATTTGTAGTGTAGAAAGAATTAAAATGGTCTCTTATGAGTAAGTTGACCACTAGGGTGAATATGTATAATTATTATTAATGAGGTTCTTTAAAATTTATTGATCTAACAGGAATTTTCAATATATATAACACCTTAAATTTAATAAAACAGTTAAGAACATCTAGTATGTGCTAAAAGTTATGTTAATAAAGTTGTAAAGTTGCATTTGTTTTGCTACCCTAGTAAGAATAATATCATAGTTTCCTAAACTTGGTTGCTAACTCTTCTAGGAAGCAAATTTATTCTAGAAAGATAAAACGTTTCTCTATACCTTTTGGAATTATTAATCACACCTATAGGTCAAAAGGTTGAGTCGTTTTGAAGATGCTTAGGCAGAGTTAATTTGAAATAGGGCACATATAGTCTTAGGACATGACATTGGAATTTTTTTAGAGGTCATCTGATCCAGACCCTGACCCTTTATTTTGCAGGTGAGAAGCTGGGAACCAGAAAAAGGGAATTTGTACTTTACATTGTCTGGTAGCATAGTGGCTAAGACACTTGCCTGCTAACCAGAAGGCTGGCGGTTCAAACCCACCAGCCACTCCTCGGAAGGAAGGTTGGGCAATCCTACTTCCGTAGTGATACTGCCTCGGAAACCCAAGGAGGGGTCGCTATGAGTCGGGGCCGACTCGACAGCACATAACAACAACAACAACAGGTGTTTACTAGCACAACTTGGATTGGGATTCAGGAAGCTTTGTTTTATTTAATGTTGTATTCATTGTACCATACTTCCAGGGTTAAGAACACCAAGATTAGTCATCAAGAAAAAAGAACAGTTATCTCTTTCCAATTTGATTTAGAACTAAGATGTTAGAAAAACTTCTATGATAGTAAAAATATTCTACTTCTGTGCTACCCAGTGGGGTAACCAATAGCCACATAAAATTATTGAACACTTGGAATGTGGCTAGAATGACTGAGGAGTTGAATTTTAAAATAATAATAGCCATATGTGGCTAATGTGTCCATATTAGACTGTAGAAAAATAGAAGAGTATCAAAATCTAGAGAAAAGGCACAGCAAACAAATTTCAAACTGGAATGCAGGAAAGTGAGATTCAGTTTATTAAGTAAGCTGAGAAGAAACAGCTGCAAATATCTGTTAATAATTGGAACATGGAATGTATGAAGTATGAATCTTTGAAAATTGGAAATTGTCAAAAATGAAATGTAACACATAAAGATGGATATCCTAGGCAATAATGAGCTGAAATGGACTGGTTCTGGCCCTTTTGAATCAGACAGTCAAATGATCTGCTATGCTGGGAATGACAAATTGAAAAGAATGGCGTGGCATTCATCCTCAGAAAGAATGTTTCAGGATCTATCCTGAAGTATATTATTCTGTTAAACCAAAACCAAACCAAACTCACTGCCATTGAGTTGAACCCGACTTATAGCAACCCCTCCTTGGGTTTCTGAGGTGGTATCTTTATGGAAGTAGATTGCCCAACCTTCCTTCTGAGGAGTGGCTGATGGGTTTGAACTGCCAGCCTTCTGGTTAGCAGTC